CATGCTACCGTTGAAGGCAACAATGAACGCCCGCTATATGCTTTCCTTTGCCTGATTAGTGAATTGAGTCTGCTGTGTTTTACAGAGAAGCGAGCTCGTCGAAAAAAAAAGTCTCTTATTTACCACAATTTACCGATGGCACAAAGTTAAGTTCCCGCATGTTTGAAACAATGAAACGTTCTTAAATTTTACGAAAGAGACGTGGAAAGAAACGTGGGACGCACTTTTTCCTTGTGACGTCAATTCGCGCTTTCAATAGCCACAACCGTCGAATAGCAGCTTCTGTGATAGAAGGGCAGCGGGCGCAGCTGGCTTCACTCAAAGAGCGGACCGCTGCTGCTAACCAGAATCCCAATAAGAGGCCCTCTAACGTTAGGCGATACGCATCCACGAGCGCTTGCAGACGAAAACCGCATAGTAGAGACGGCACAGCGTTGGGAAGCGTAGCAGACTAAAAAAAGAAAATAGAAGGGCAGTAGCAGCAACAGTAATAGACGACGAGTGGGCGGAAGTACGTGGCGGGGAGGGCGCTGCGGACGGCGAACCTGAGAGAATGATAGAGAATTATTGCAAGGAAGTTAACGAAAGGGGGGCAGACGGGAACGATGGGAACACGAGGAAGCCGAGGATGGAGTAGCAGAAAGCTACCTAAACAGCAAAAGTGATAAGGAGAGGAGGAAGATGAAAGAAGGGTCGGAAAGAGGGGGTTCCTCCTTCCTCTTTTCGTTTAGCTGCGTGGCCGGATGGCACGGGTCCCACCGCCGAAACTAGGGCAAATCGATGCCGAGCGGGCTCACTGTGGAACAAGGTCGCATGGAGGTCAGGCAGCACAGCTCGCCTCAGCCTCACTCTCCTCGCTGATTCCGCGCTGCATTAGTGTCAACATTGTTCCAATCAACGCGGCCCAGCGTTCGCTGCCGTTCTCTGACGTCAGCAGTGGGCGCGCGCGCGCGCTCCGGCAGGTCTGGAGCACCGCCGCGCCATCTGCAGGAACATGCTTTAATTTTCCCGAGGAGCATTTTGTTTGCTCTGCAGCACTGGAAGCGTTAGAATTTTTTTAGCATATCTCTAGACGACGCCATATATCTGACAGCAATCAGCCACGGCTTAATTATACGAACGAACAATGCATTTGGCACACACATTTTTTTAAAAGATGATAGTCTTTCTTGGGAAACTTGAACGCAGCTGTCTGTCTGTCTGTCTGTCTGTCTGTCTGTCTGTCTGTCTGTCTGTCTGTCTGTCTGTCTGTCTGTCTGTCTGTCTGTCTGTCACACAATTCAGCCACCCCGCCAAAGTTTAAGCACTAGCTGAACACCCAGCTATCTTGAACTGGTGGCTGCGTTCACCCTTGCGAACATTGTCAACAAAAAACGCAAATATTACGCATATAAGAGGAGCAACATCAATACGTAAGTATTAGGTTGTGCGTTACATTACTTTATATATATATATATATATATATATATATATATATATAGATATATATATATATATATATATATATATATATATATATTATATATATATATATCTATCTATATATATATATATATATATATATCTATCTATATATATATATATATATATATATATATATATCTATATATATATATATATATATATATATATATATATATATTATATATATATATATATATATATATATATAAAGACGCTGGTGTTTATTAGGCTGCGCTGAAAATGCGACGCTATGTTTTGTGCGATTATAATCATTCTAATCGCATACCCGCGAGATGCGGACATACTTATTGAAGCAAGGTGTCGGTCCGGGTTAGTTGGTATTCAAAATTTACCTTGCGTACAGCGCAGAAAAATGCGAACAAACAAGCAACCGAGAAACATGAGCGCTACCTTCGACTAGCGAGTGCTCGTTTTTGTCGGGGATTTGTCCCTTCTTTTGCATCAGCTACACAAGTTAAACACATCCATCGATTGGATTGCATTAGTCAAGCTTAGTTAGTTAATGTGACCCTCAGTGTGAGAATATGGCATATGAGAGTTAACTATCACAAGTCAAGCACATTAGATCACAGCTTACGTAAACACGCTAAAAGAGGCACCTGGTGAGAACATTGTGCATACTATTCCAAGTACTGAACTGATACCCAGAACAAACTCGCCTATTGCGAAGTCATTTTACTAAATATCGTGACATGCGGTCTTTCGATTTTGAAAGACAGGTGAATTGTTGAGTGCTTAAACATGTATGTATCCGGCTCAGTCATGGTAATTTTATTCGGCACTTGTTAAAGCTTAACGATCTTGGTGTATCAGCATATATCCCTGATAAAGATGAAGTGATATCTAATCCCTAACGCTTCGCCGCTGTTGACGTAATTGTAACAAACACAATCTGAAGGATCTCCGTACCAACATGGTGTTATCTATGCTGCGCACTTCTTACTGAAAAATATTTGTAAACAAAGTGGCGCACCCAAGGCTTGTCTCAGCAGGTTTATAACACAAAGGAAAGAAAACAAAGGAGCATAATTACGTTACGAAGCCAGACTTAGCAAGCTAACGCGCTTTGAAGCCAGTGTTGGCCCAAAAAGCGTTCTTCTGCGATGATGTCACGCAATAAACTAGCTTTGCCGGGACTTCGGTCTATAGTGCCCGGTAGTATTTAGTCGATTGCGCTTGCTAGGCGCACTTAGGCCGGCTCCCTGGGGAGGTTCAAAGATTGAACACCATCAGCAGCACTATAAGACGACCCAAGAGCTCAGGCGTCTTCACTATGTTTACGGCCGACGCAGTAGGCGTCATTCACATTTCGCTACACTCCCTCCTCTTTTCTTCCTTCTTCGATGGTGTAAACCTGCTTGAACGTTGAAGAGCAATCATTGCTGTTGCATCAAAGCTGAATAATCAAGCATTGCTCACTGATTGTAATTTGACTCGTTCGCTCAATGACGGTAGAGAGAAGCAGCTGAAAACGGAACTATACGGGCTGGTATGGAGGGATGAAATGAGAACAGTGCGGATGCGCTCAGTGTCAGGAGAGACTCAGTCGTTCAAGTTCATGCACTTAATACACATATACGGTTTGACAGCTTTATGTATGCCCAACCACTTTTACTTCGAGGCAAAAGAAACGGTACCACCTTATGAATTGATAGCACACTCAGGACATGCTACCTTTTGGGAATCACTATATTTGCAGCTAATATCCAGGCAGCTAGTGGCAACTTATGCTCTTGAATATTTGCGTGACATATTGTTAATCGAGGTTGCATTGAACACATGAACGAGGTGTTTCACGTATTCTTGTAAGAACGGCACTGCAGAAGTCGAAGGCGTTTGTTGAAATCAGCTGTTTTCAAACAAAAAAAAAATATGTGTACATGGCCTCGTGCGTCTTTTATTGGTGGAGACGATTGTAAATTCAAGGAGTAATTAGCTACGTTTGTCCGCTGCTTGTTTAACCATTCCTTCGAATATCTACGTTCATAGAAAATTGTTTCTTTGCTTGGGTCAATGTCAAATTGACTAAGATAAAAAATATTCACATTTTGCCTTTTAAACTTGAAAAATGCAACAAAATTCAGATACCTGTCCTTTTGACGTTATAACATTGCAAAATTCACATGTAGTTTTTCTCTATCGAGTATTTGCGGATGCCTTGTCATGCGAGAACAAAGGCATTCAAAAAGTACTAAGCGGCTTAACCAATTGAACATACAACCTTTTCTCGTGAAGCAAAAGGTTTACTGACTCCTCAAAAGCAGCCCTTTCCAGTTTTTTTTTTCCTGCAGTGTATTTATTCACAAATGTGGGTGCGTAGAGGCGTCAGGTAAAAAAAAAAGTTTATTCTTGGCGTTCTTGTCTTCACATAACACGCCATATTGAATATGCGAAGCGAGGTGAAATTTTCAGTGACGTCAAAGGGTCGATGCGAGTGAGACATTCATGAATGGTGCATTTGAAAACGTGACGTAAGTCGCGCGGGAGAGGCGGAATCGAAAGACAAACAGTTCGAAGGTTGCAAAACATATTGTTTGCGACTAAAAGCGCTTCCGGGGAAACCGTCCAACACCGATTTGACTTCGTACGAGAGCGGCGGAATCATGAAGCTCGCATTTTTTCGCATTTATGCGAATATATAGAACGATTCCGCCTGGAGGTGGGTTGCACGCGCAAGTGACAAATGAGGTAAAAAATAAAAATTGACATGAAACGTGGCGTGCATGACAATCAAAAGGTGAATTTCTCGAAGAGAAAAACTAGTTACGGCATGCATGCATGCATGCCTATCTATCTATCTATCTGTCTATCTATCTGTCTATCTGTCTATCTATCTGTCTGTCTGTCTATCTATCTGTCTATCTGTCTATCTGTCTGTCTATCTATCTGTCTATCTGTCTATCTATCTGTCTATCTGTCTATCTATCTGTCTGTCTATCTGTCTATCTATCTATCTGTCTATCTGTCTATCTGTCTATCTATCTGTCTATCTGTCTATCTATCTATCATCTATCTATCTATCTATCATCTATCTATCTATCTATCTATCTATCTATCTATCTATCTATCTATCTATCTATCTATCTATCTATCTATCTATCTATCTATCTATCTATCTGTCTATCTGTCTATCTATCTATCTGTCTATCTATCTATCTGTCTATCTATCTATCTGTCTATCTGTCTATCTGTCTATCTGTCTATCTATCTATCTGTCTATCTGTCTATCTATCTATCTATCTATCTGTCTATTTGTTAGAACCCACGGAAGAACCATTGTGTTCCATAAGCAGTATCAATGAGAAATACATTGATAAATGTTTTTAGACAAACTGTAGCCGCGTATACAAGCCTTCGTCTGTCGCTGAACTGCTGCCATATTTGGATCATATTTTGTACTTGTTGCATGTACTTGTTGCATGTCACATGTGACTTGCTTGTTCACACGTCACATGCACTTCACGTGTGACATGCTCATTTTTTGATAACCTCATATGCCACCTATCGTCCTGCAGTGGCCGACTCCTCGGAGGCAGGCGCGGGTCCCGGCAGGATGCAGGTTGAGATCCAAGTGGCTCTCAACTTCCTCGTCTCCTTCCTGTATAACAAGCTGCCCAGGAGAAGGGTCAACCAGTTCGCCGAGGAACTGGACAGGGCACTCAGGCGAAAGTTCCGGGGACACTGGTACGTTGGCAGTGGCTTATTAACTCATATACATAGTGTTCGCGTGACGTCACAGACAAGTTCTCCGCCCTGGGTACCCCAGCAGAGCAGCCACAGTGACTTCAACATGGTAGCCACCGTGAAACAGCTTCACGTAGTGTGAAAGCATCAACGTATACACGCAGCGTTCATTTACAACTGACATATGAACACAGTAAGCAAACTAACTCAAAATATCCGAACCAATACGAAAACTATCAACAATCGCGAGTAGAACACGTCGTATTTGACTTAATGACGTTTGTTTGACGACGAGCATAGTTTTCTTATAGAACTTGAGTACCGAATATGACTGAAGTTCAGATGCACGGAGAGGCTTGAAGTGACCAGAAGTTTTTCGAGAAAGAACGTTGCTGCATGGAAGCTGTGTTTCGGCAAGTTGACTTGTCTTCGTCAGGGCAACAGAGTTGCCTTGATGAAGAAAAGTTCACTTGTCAAAACGTTGGCTCCATCTACATGCTCTGTAGTAACTTTAAAAGCATTCAGTCCATCACGTGTATTTGAGTGACACTATTAGAAGTAAAGATTTACAAATATTTAAACCGCGGCTACGAGAATTTCATGAGCACGAAGCAGCCTATAATTGACATCATTTGAGCTACGCGCCAAAAGTAAAAGGAACTAAAACCACTTAGCCGAGCCAACTCAAATTCAAGCCTTTCGAAAACGCATTTTACCGCCAGGTGCTTGGCTGCCGTCTTCTCCAATCAGTCAAGTTACACGCACCTATGTCAGTCCAGTCAGGCACGCAGAAAATTGGGTTTACTCATATGTACTCATGCAAAATCAATACGTGCTCAAATAATAGGTTTGAATTCTTGCGCTCACCCTTAAACTAAAGAAGTGCTGCAAACCTTCGCGGAACTAGAAATCATCAGGTTGGCACACCACAGAGCCGCGGAAACGTGTGTTTCCCGATTAAGCCATCTTCGACGGATGCATCGCTGATTTGTTCGGTGTAGCTCAATGCGGCTTCCGTTTTCTGCTCGCCACAACTCGCGGTTTTTATCATTCCTGTAGTTGATACGCCAACCGAGTGATATAAGTGAGCGCGATCCAACTTGTAATATCGCTGAGCGAGGGGCGAGAAGGAGCGGAGGCAAGTGCTACGAACACAAGTCAATCACCTTCTGTGCTTAGCCTGTGCACGTAGCAATAGTCACGAAATGAGGAATAAGAAAAGCATACAAACAAAAGAGAAGATTTTGCAGTGGTATCAACTTTTTATTATTTGTAAAAACTTGTGAAAGTCAACAAATACGAGCATTCACATCAACCTCACTCCGTTCAATCGGATGCCCGGCGACCGCTACGAGCGTGCATGTTCATTGAAACCGAAACTGCAGGAGACCATGCAGTTTGGGACTACACATAAAGATCAGGATTAGGTGTGCGAAATGATGGTGCCCAAATGTGGCTTTAAATCGAGTGTTCTCTTGCGCTGCCTTTGTTTTGGCGCTCCCTGTTTTTTTACGAGAGAAAATTTTTCATTGTCGTTTTCTGGCATCAAAGTAAAAGCGTAGCCTTGGTAAGCCATATTCTAAGGCATTCTCCTTCCTGGCTACGGGCCTGCGCTCTTCATGAACACAGTGTTGACGATGTACGCAGGTATCCGGAGAAGCCGTACCGGGGCTCGGCGTTCCGCTGCGTGAAGACGTCCCCTCCCCTGGACCCGGTGTTCCAGATCGCGGCTCGGGAGAGTGGAGTCGACCTGCGGGATGTCCGGGAGAACTTGCCCCCGGACCTGAGCATCTGGATAGATCCCGGCGAAGTGTCCTATCGCATAGGCGAGAAAGGCGCGGCACAGGTGCGTTGTGTGTATACGTTATACTATTAAGAGTGCGGTGGCTGTGCTATGGATTATGGAAATCGTCTGTCTGTCTGTCTGTCTGTCCGTCCGTCTGTCTGTCCGTCCGTCTGTCTGTCTGTCTGTCTGTCTATCTATCTATCTATCTATATATCTATCTATCTATCTATCTATCTATCTATCTATCTATCTATCTATCTATCTATCTATCTATCTATCTATATCTATCTATCTATATATCTATCTATCTATATCTATCTATCTATCGCAAAAAACACGCGTGAGAGCTACCATATCAGTTTGTTAGAACCCACGGAAGAACCATTGTGTTCCATAAGCAGTATCAATGAGAAATACATTGATAAATGTTTTTAGACAAACTGTAGCCGCGTATACAAGCCTTCGTCTGTCGCTGAACTGCTGCCATATTTGGATCATATTTTGTACTTGTTGCATGTACTTGTTGCATGTACTTGTTGCATGTCACATGTGACTTGCTTGTTCACACGTCACATGCACTTCACGTGTGACATGCTCATTTTTTGATAACCTCATATGCCACCTATCGTCCTGCAGTGGCCGACTCCTCGGAGGCAGGCGCGGGTCCCGGCAGGATGCAGGTTGAGATCCAAGTGGCTCTCAACTTCCTCGTCTCCTTCCTGTATAACAAGCTGCCCAGGAGAAGGGTCAACCAGTTCGCCGAGGAACTGGACAGGGCACTCAGGCGAAAGTTCCGGGGACACTGGTACGTTGGCAGTGGCTTATTAACTCATATACATAGTGTTCGCGTGACGTCACAGACAAGTTCTCCGCCCTGGGTACCCCAGCAGAGCAGCCACAGTGACTTCAACATGGTAGCCACCGTGAAACAGCTTCACGTAGTGTGAAAGCATCAACGTATACACGCAGCGTTCATTTACAACTGACATATGAACACAGTAAGCAAACTAACTCAAAATATCCGAACCAATACGAAAACTATCAACAATCGCGAGTAGAACACGTCGTATTTGACTTAATGACGTTTGTTTGACGACGAGCATAGTTTTCTTATAGAACTTGAGTACCGAATATGACTGAAGTTCAGATGCACGGAGAGGCTTGAAGTGACCAGAAGTTTTTCGAGAAAGAACGTTGCTGCATGGAAGCTGTGTTTCGGCAAGTTGACTTGTCTTCGTCAGGGCAACAGAGTTGCCTTGATGAAGAAAAGTTCACTTGTCAAAACGTTGGCTCCATCTACATGCTCTGTAGTAACTTTAAAAGCATTCAGTCCATCACGTGTATTTGAGTGACACTATTAGAAGTAAAGATTTACAAATATTTAAACCGCGGCTACGAGAATTTCATGAGCACGAAGCAGCCTATAATTGACATCATTTGAGCTACGCGCCAAAAGTAAAAGGAACTAAAACCACTTAGCCGAGCCAACTCAAATTCAAGCCTTTCGAAAACGCATTTTACCGCCAGGTGCTTGGCTGCCGTCTTCTCCAATCAGTCAAGTTACACGCACCTATGTCAGTCCAGTCAGGCACGCAGAAAATTGGGTTTACTCATATGTACTCATGCAAAATCAATACGTGCTCAAATAATAGGTTTGAATTCTTGCGCTCACCCTTAAACTAAAGAAGTGCTGCAAAACCTTCGCGGAACTAGAAATCATCAGGTTGGCACACCACAGAGCCGCGGAAAACGTGTGTTTCCCGATTAAGCCATCTTCGACGGATGCATCGCTGATTTGTTCGGTGTAGCTCAATGCGGTCTTTATCTTTCCTGTAGTTGATACGCCAACCGAGTGATATGACTGAGCGCGATCCAACTTCTAATATCGCTGAGCGAGGGGCGAGAAGGAGCGGAGGCAAGTGCTACGAACACAAGTCAATCACCTTCTGTGCTTAGCCTGTGCACGTAGCAATATTCACGAAATAAGAAATAAGAAAAGCATACAAACAAAAGAGAAGATTTTGCAGCGGTATCAACTTTTTATTATTTGTAAAAACTTGTGAAAGTCAACAAATACGAGCATTCACATCAACCTCACTCCGTTCAATCGGATGCCCGGCGACCGCTACGAGCGTGCATGTTCATTGAAACCGAAACTGCAGGAGACCATGCAGTTTGGGACTACACATAAAGATCAGGATTAGGTGTGCGAAATGATGGTGCCCAAATGTGGCTTTAAATCGAGTGTTCTCTTGCGCTGCCTTTGTTTTGGCGCTCCCTGTTTTTTTTACGAGAGAAAATTTTTCATTGTCGTTTCTGGCATCAAAGTAAAAGCGTAGCCTTGGTAAGCCAATATTCTAAGGCATTCTCCTTCCTGGCTACGGGCCTGCGCTCTTCATGAACACAGTGTTGACGATGTACGCAGGTATCCGGAGAAGCCGTACCGGGGCTCGGCGTTCCGCTGCGTGAAGACGTCCCCTCCCCTGGACCCGGTGTTCCAGATCGCGGCTCGGGAGAGTGGAGTCGACCTGCGGGATGTCCGGGAGAACTTGCCCCCGGACCTGAGCATCTGGATAGATCCCGGCGAAGTGTCCTATCGCATAGGCGAGAAAGGCGCGGCACAGGTGCGTTGTGTGTATACGTTATACTATTAAGAGTGCGGTGGCTGTGCTATGGATTATGGAAATGTTGTGGTTGATAGAAAGTGGGTTCAGTGGTATTACTTCATTGACTGATGCCGACAGCGCACTGGAAACAGGGGAAGCTAGATTAGACGTGCCACAAGCGTTGAGACAGGGCGAATGCGCCATTATTATTTGCGCGACCCAACGTTCTTTCAGGAAGGTTTTCAGTTAAAGGTCGGACCGTGTATAGGGCCTGCACTCTTCGTGAGTTCGCATTTACTGCGAGTGACTTTAATTACTAAAGAAGTCATACGACCAGCCTCAGTTTGCTATCTTGTTCGATTCGCGGCGGCTGCTATATTCAGATAATCACTGAAAATCATGAATTTGAGCGCAACTGACCGAATAAAAGTAGCATACCTATGTGTTTCATGTAAGGCTTGGCTATGTGCTTTCGTTTTCCAATTTTCTAGTGTAGGCTAATGTTCACCACAACGCAATTCACCAAGGTTTTTGTGTTAGGAAATTCCAGCTAATCTTTATAATTCGATGGCAAAAAAATTTAGTAGTCATGTAGAGAGATACGTTTTTAATCGAGGGAAATCCAGCCGATATATGATGAATATGTCTGTTAAAATTGTGGAGTATTGTAAAACCAAACCAAAGATATATTTCAGATCTTTGAGTACGTTAGCCAAAAGAATCAGAGCCGCCTTTTAATTGTCGCCCTTAGTTGATCGTGCGAAACCATGGGAACGACAGATTACAGTAAGAAGAAATCAGACGTGGTCATGACACTACGTTGTCCCATTTGAAATGGTACGTCTATGTTTCCTCCAGTATGCACAGTGCATCATCTATCCAGATGTTAACGAAATTTTCAAGTCCAACAAAGTGAGTGATTACTTTTCGAAAGTGGCACACACGAACGTCAGGAAGCCGGTTCCACAGTAATTCTTTGCACACGTTGAAATAAACGGTGTGCTTTACACCATATATTACCCAAATAATAATTTTCACCGGAACCTGTAATGACTAGCAGGAACCCTATCCTGATTCCTAATGGTCTATATACAAGTCCACTTTTTCCAATCTAATCTGCCTTTATCTAGCCCGTGTGTAATGCCATGGCACCAACTCCCATCTGATCTGCCTTAATCTATTGTTTACTGCCATGGCGCCCACTGGTTCCTTCATAATGTGGACATTACGTTGAAACACTGCGGCACCTGAATAAGGCCTTCTAAACTGACCTAAAATAATTTCCGTCACTATGCTCGTCTTTCCTTGTAGGTGCTTCTGGGTGGCCCCCAGTCGTCTGTCTCCGAATCGCGCTGCTGCTCGACCAGCCCCAACTCGGCCGATGAGGCCCTGGTCGCTCAATTGGCTGGCCTGGGCCTCGGTCCCAGCGCCGCCATGACGCCCCTGTCACCGGGATCAGCCGGCGCCCAGGCGGCCGCCTCGGCACCAGCGCTGGGCGCCGTCGCAGCCGTGGCTGCCGCCGCTGCCGGTTCCTGCACAAACCCCGGGGCGGCCACTCCGGTCGTCAACGGCACGGGAACGCGCTCCCTCACCTTCACCACGGCCAGCTTCGCACAGACAAAGTTCGGCTCGACCAAGCTCAAGACAAGCTCCAAGCGCGCCCAGAGACTCTCGCCCACCGAGCTCAGCCTGAGGCGAGAGCAGCAGCAACAGCAGCAACATCAACAGCAACAACTCGTCGCCAGGGGGCCTGCAGCGGTGCCGACGAGCGGCAAACCCCATCTCGCCGCACGATCTGTACGGATCGGCCGCTGCGGCTGCTCTCCCCATTGATGCGTTCGGCGATGCGGCCGCCGCGGTGGTGGCGTCGCAGGTGGCGGCGGCAGCGGCGGCTGCTTGCCCGCCGCCGCCTCCCACGACTGCGTCGCGGTTCGCGGCAGCGGCGTCTCCCTTCTTGGCTGCGGCTGCTGGTGGTTCGTTTCAGGGACATCATCATCACCACCACCACCACCCGCATCACCACCACCACTCGGTGGTGTCCGGTGCGGCTGCCGAGCTCGGGGCGGCGCTCCAGCAGCACCTGCTGTTGGCCAACTAGTCGGAGCAGCGCAGCAACTGTTCTTTCTTTTTTGTACTTTTTGTTATTTCCTAGAGGGCCCACACTCTCATGTTGAAAACAAACAAAGAAATGAGCTACTGCATTGTCAGCCAAGAGGTTTCGGCTGAATGGAAGCCGAAGCTATGGCCACAGTGGCTCATTTAACAATTATTTTTGAATGTTACCATCGAGGAGCAAGACGGAATGTCAGAAAGAAAGTGAAAAATTAGTAGGACCTCTAGACGCCCTTGATTAAAAGATAAATACTTGCGCTTTGCTTGACCAGTGCCAGTTTGGTCTAATTCGGAGGGCCAATGCTTTCTTAAGGAGCAACCTTGTTTTAATAACTCCTTTATTTGAGCGCATATAAACGGTCTTGTATTTGAGTTCATTTCTTTAGGGCAGGCTTTCATTGTCCAATCGTTTCACTCGTACTATGCGCTGGCGCCTTGCTATCGTCGGCATCCTTCAGCGGAGGCGAAAAGACACTCTTGCTGTATAAAGGTAAACACGATGCTGACTGGTTGTTCCGTGAGGTTGAGCATCTACTAGTACTTTCTTAACAGTTGTTGGATAACTGCAAAAAAAAAAATAGAATCATCGCTTCTGCAAAAGAACTGAGAAGAGAAGATCAGCGTACAGAAGTTTTCACCTGTTGCATAACACTTCGAAAAAAAGAAAGTCTTTTAGTGAGCTGTAGCGTCACCTTTCTAAGCGAAATTAGTATGAGATAAGCAGAGAATGGCTTGTTGGCTGAAGATGAGGGGCATAGCATTCCGTTTGCCATGGAAGTTGTTACAGCGTCAACGATGAAGCGCAGTCTTTTTCTTGAAGATATTCCTTTACGGAACACGCATTGTTCGAAGGTTGTGTTCTTGTTACAGTTTTGCATGTTACGAGATTGTTGCAACGAAGAGCTTTTAAAAGTCGTTGAACTGCCCCTTTATGTTACAAATGCCGCAGTTGTAGCACACAAGAAACTATCTCTTGTTGAGTGTCCTAAGAAGGAAACGGCGTACAAAATATTTTGGTCCGGTCTGTTTTGATTCGTCGCGTTGTAGTTCTCGCGTTCGGCCAACTTGTCCACCTTGACTAGAGTTGCAGCCGCACCATTAGCAAGGGGACCCTCAGGAAACTGCTTGTTAAGGATGACCGTGTGTGTGACGTTAGTTAATGAAAGAGCGGCAGGTCCTTAGCTACTGCGGTTGCCAAAACTTCGTTCCCACGAAAGATGCACAAGGCAACAACAATTTATACCCTGAGTGTCATGTTTATCACACAATCCATCGCATGTTTAGTTCCACAGAAAATTGCTTGTCTGTTTATTTTCTTGCATAGTTTCGTTTTCCAGTTTATGGACACCCGCAACCAAATATTAATATTATTGCCATCACTGCTTTCAAAGCTTTGTGAAGAGCACCGTTGCAATATTTGTTATGGGAATCATAGATGTCCTCTGCATTCGTCTCAACTTAGCTAAAAGAAGAGATACTGATGCTTTTAATAGCGTGACTTCCATTCACGCAGTAAAATGTATACCTCCGCTATTGTATTACACACATCGCACAAACTTCTGCTCTAAGGCCAATCCTATAGCGCCTGAAAGATATATATTCGTTGAGAGAAAGACCAATGAAGATGTCTATTTTTGACGACACGCATGTTTTCCAGATGTAAACGTTTAGGAAGCTGTAGTTGCTGTTGATGTTGAACAATATGTTGTTGAACATTTCTGGGCGTCTGGAGGTTCTTCCACGGCATACCGAAACGAGCGCCATATGCTAATCTTGACGTCTAAGTGTTACTGCAAAATCATAGGTAGGACCATTAGAAAAAAAACAACTAAACAAAATAAATAATATGAACTTTAGTGAACGGAACCTGTCAGGAAAGGAAGTGTCAAAGAATGTTCACTACAACGCAAACATTAGGCTTAGACCTTCGACAAAATAGCGTCCGCTTAGCAGGTGGCGCCAGTTTCTCCAGTGTGCATTAACTATACCATTGCCGTGGTTCGGTGTCGCATAGAATTGTTGGGTGTTCATCTCGTGGTCTTGAGGTGCCAGGGCAGAAATTGTTAACATCCCACCCGGCGTTTGTATTTGTAGCGAAGTTAGTTACAACCATGGCTAATGTAGGTGGTGGAAGGACGCTGGGCCACAAACGTGCGCCCCTCGTTAGGGGTGCTGCAGACGCTCGCCTAGCGCTGGCACGCAGACGACGCATAATAAGCTCGCATAATAAGTTGCAAGCCGTCAACCCTAATAGAGCTTCGGGCCTGCCTTAGGCGTACACAATTTTCCGATGATGCAACACTTCAGAGAGAGGGGGAGAGAGGCGCCCGCTTTGATCGTTGCAAGACAAGGCAATCGAGATTAGCACCCAGTCAAACTAGCGAGCCAACAGGACCTGTAGTCATGTTCGAGAAAAAGTCACTCTCGTTCTATTATTCCGGTATCTTTACCGTTTCGAGGAAGTGAGAGCCAGTGATCCTGCTTGTTTTTGTATCGTATTACAATAGTGATTGGTAGCGGCACTATAGCGACGGCAACGGAGTCTCAGCATGCCACTTCTGACGTCATGCACTGCCTCTGAGATGACTGTCACGTCATATCCGGTGAAGCGCACTGTCCAACTATTGGGTGACGAGGCGGGCTCTGCAGCTACGCCGGGACAGTTTAGTCCAGTGCTTTGTTGCCACGGGCCGTCATGGAACCTTCCCGCGATTGAATCGAATGGCGGAAAGCAGGCGCTGGGACGTCATCCTGTCACTCAGAGAGCCAGAGCTGATGAAGGTGACGCGTTGTGGCGCTAAAAGAGGTCTAGTCAAGTTCAAAGAGCTACGACTCGTTCATTACTGCCGTGACGTCATTTCCGCTCGGTCCCCACAACGGCGCGTCACGTGACTCCCCAGGGGCGAGTGGAACGCCACCGGGGTTTCTAGGCGGAAGTGACGTAGGTGCTCAGACTCTGTTCTCTTCGAATAGTTCAGCTGCGTTGCCATGGCCTGGTTCCCAGTTTCCCACAATTTCAATTGAGTGATACATATATATACATATTGTGGACAACCTTTCTCACTCGCCTTTTTCCGTGTCGTTTTTTCTGTACACGTTTTTTCTACTACGAGGTGTGTCGGTGTGTTTGATACAGAATGACCGCGCGATGATCGGGTTGTATGTACTTCTCTGTAAACGACACTGCCGCTAGGGGCGCTGCGAAGCTCGTCTGTTACACCTGCGCCACGCTTGTTACTGTGTGCACTCGTTATACTCATGGCGTGGTATCCGTACGTAGCAGCTTAAACATGATACATACTGAAAATTCGCTTTGGCCTTGCCAGACGAGGGCAGCATTGCCGCTTGAGCGTTGCGGAGAACATGGCTGTGACAATTATGGACAAAATTTTTTTTTTCAAATCGGCGGCCGTTCTCTTTCCGGTGCCATTCGTAAAGCTAACATTCGGCATCTGTTTGAAATTACCAAGAAAGCACGAGTTTAAGTTCATAATTCATAATCAGCGGGCGCAAAAAGTGATTAGTTTTTTTATTGATAATAACTAGGGCACGAGCTTCGGGAGATGTGAGAATAAATATGGCTGCGCCTGCAGACGGCATTATCCAAATTCACATCGAAGTCTTTCCCCAGACTGATCCCTCAGACACGTTGCTATCAATGTGGCCGTTAGTCGTATAGCCAGACGCGCTTCGCAGCAAACCGAGCGGCACTGTCACGTAGCATTGTACCGTCGTTGTCGTCAAGCTTCGTCGTTGTAATCGTCATATTTTTTTATATCTATACGCAAACAGAATAAGAGTTTTTTTAGGTTGTCGTATTTTAGTTCTTGCGGGGTCTGCTGCATTTTTCCGGGCAGAGGGAGCGTCAGTACAAAAGGTCGGATTTCGGTACGGGCACTGCGCGGAGAAGCGCATGCGCAGTTTGTCGCACTGCGCGTGAAGTGAGCGTATTAACGCCGTCGTTAGAATTATACGCGTGCTCTGGGTTTCCCCTTCGAGGAGGGAGAGAGGCAAGCGTGACCGCAGCGCCCCCAACCCTCCTCCCTCCGCTTCGATTGGTTGAGTTCGAATGTAATATAAACTTCAAAACGGCTGCTCATATGAATATGAAGCGATGACGTGCTTTGTACAATGGCCTAATCGGTTTCTCGCATTCGGATAGAACAAGGGAAGTAGGCTAAACAGCTCTTGGAACGCTACATGAAATCCTCAGCTGTCAATATTGTCAGAAACCTGTACAATCATGACCCTGCGCTATAAGCGATGGATGGACATGTCCGACTGAGTACAGAGTAAAAATTATACACAATTGGTGCCCCCCCCCCTTTCTTTTAGACGATTAGTGGGAGCAACTGGTCGCCAGGGCCAAAAGGGCAATAGAAGCCAGAGGGTTCCTGGACTAAGGAGCCCTCCCACCTCAGGGTAACACCGGGCATTGCTCGGGACTCTGTTTCAAAAATAAACGTTTACTTCTCTTTCTCTAGGGGGAGCAGCCACTCTTACCCGTGCGCACGCATATGGTTAAGACGATAGCGTGAAAAGTAGCGAGACACGGAAACGAGACTTTAGTCACGACGGGGGAACAGGGAGATATCGACCGGGGCGAAGAGAATCTATTTTGTGTGCGGCGCAATAAGCATAGCGAGGGGTTCGATCTCCGCCAACCCCCTTTCGCCCCCCTCCACATTTTGCTTCCGAGTACGTAAAATGTAAATGCATATATATGAATATATCTACTATATCTATTTACGCCTACAACGTAACACAAAGGACAAGAACCCCGTGGCCTCCCAATCGAAATTCTCGACGCGGTGCAAGAAGGAACCATGGCAAGGAACAAACATCGGAACTCACCAGTCGCGCTAGCCTTCGATAATCTGGCCGGAAATGACAATTCCTGGCGCCATTTAAATTCAGAAATGTCATAAAACTTACGATTTTGGCCGGTTATGACTAATCTGAATGCCTTTTGCTATTGGATGAAAAAAAAATATGTCAATGCTTTCATATCCTACCGTGCCCTGAAACATGCAATCTTTCCCATTACGACTGGTGCACAATGAAGGTGCGGTGCATCTTATTAGTTGAAAAGTGTCAGTGCTTTATCACATTCTACCATATTATTTGGCATATTGACAGCTATAATTTGTAGACATGGTGGTATAGCTTCTTTATTTGGCTAAAAATCGCAACGTTCCAAAATTCTTTCATATTCTGAGACTCGCCATCTTGCCAGATCTATGTGGCCTATGAGACGACTGCTGTTGGTCCCATTGAGCAAAATATCTTTACGCTGTCAAAGTCTGCCCTTTAGTATGAAACTGGCCTTGTCAGTTGTAAGATGTCCACAAGGCGGGTACAGCGTATCCCTTTGGTTCGAAAACCTCAACCCTAACAAATTCAGCCATTTTTGGAAGCTCTCCACATAGTTGGTGGTCGCCACATTGTTGGCCGTTTACAATTCGTGTGCAGCCTCTCCCATTGGCTAAAGGATCTCGATATTTTCAAGTACGGCCATATTGCGTTAGGCACTATATTGTCAGCTGCGGTCGGACCACAAGGCAGCTGAAGCACCTCCCATTGGCTCGAAAATCGCTCTCGTATCCTCATACTCGCTGGCTTGGTATTGAACACTGGTGTTTGTTACAATAGATAAGAAATCCCAGTGACTTAACGCTGGGAATCAGCCGTAACTGGCGCGATCAAGGAGCTCCGATGACTACAGTTCTAACCAGGCCTTCCTTCAGCATTACGACATAAAGCGCCACACGGCTACCTGCCCGTCCGCGCAATAATGCGCCGCCAAACCACCGAGGTTGGCAGCATGTGACAGAGCCTCGGAAAAAGTTGGCATAGAACGTCAACTCCTGGCGGACGACGACAGGATGGCTCCGCAGCGTTCTCAAAAAGCGAGGGCCGCGCCGACGTTGTTCTTATTTTGCTTTGTCGAAGCTTTGTTGTTCATTTAGAAGAAGAGGGAGGCCTCGCGTCTTCAAAGCTATTTTCGTACGCCAGCTGAAGAATGCTAGACCTATCAGCGAGCCGGGGACCGGTACGTTATGTGGGGCGCCGCGTCGAAGGGTTGGGTTGGTGTGGTCGATGACGCGGTTGTGTTTGTGATGGTTTCCCGCTGTTGTTGTTGATGTTGCTGCTGCTGCTCCTGTTGTTGCGCGTGTCATGCAGTAGTAGTAGGGTGGCGCTACAAGCCGAGGAGGTCGTCCTCGTGTTGCAATGAGAGTGGTGGTGTGTGCGTTGGAAAGCGTTCATTTAGCGCAGGCACGGAGTGGTAAGAGACGGTGCCAAGACGAAATTGGAACGGAGGACAAAACAGCGGGTTTGTGTCAGGTCCGGGGTGTTTATTAGAAGCTGCTGTAAGATTTATGAAACTTGTAGGCTGCCGAACAGAGCCCGTGGTGATATAGCTAGCTGGAAAACGTGACACGCTGTTCACGCTTACCGCATGCCAAATATATGACGACGTCTATTTCGAATAACGCATTGGCTGTCCTTGCAAAAGGGCTGAGGGTTATGTGAACATTGGGCGTGAGCCAGTGTCGCGTTTCGTCTGCTAGCCGCTTCGCCATCTGTTTCACTTCCGTCATCTATATCAAGTATCGTCTGTTCCACTTGTAGTATGCTTCACTTCCGCCAGGTCTCGCGTTCCCAGTTCTCTTGGCGCCGCCTCCCCGTGTCTTGCGCAAGATGACAGAGATAAAAGAAGAAGAAGAGAGAAAAAGGAAGAGTAGAAGCAAGAGATGAGAGTGTGATATGGGAAGAAGCGCAGTGATATCCACGTCCTAAGATTCCAAAGGTGTTAAAAAAAAGATGCATATAATACACAACAGGAAGTCCCTTTTATCTTTTGTACTTTGACTTAGTGCAGACGATACGCGCCCCGTGGCGCTCGTCTGCTGACGAGGCAGCCACACACTGTCTGCACTGTTTCTTCACATCTTGTTACATTTTAATAAGTTTTTAAATAAATGTTGGACAAAAGCGTCGCCAAACGTGTCCCTGGTGTTGTTGGTGGCGTTGCCTAGGGGGCTTTCATGCCTCCTGGACCTGGTGCTACCAGAAGCGCAAGTACGCACTCTGGCACCTGGAACATCGTGCCCGTCTTCGAGTACAAAGCGTGCTGTCTGAAACATTGCGATGGTATCCTGTTCTTGGCTCCAGCAATTGATTATAGCGCTTGCGGAACACGAAAGCACAGACATTTGAGAGTTTAAGATGAAAGCGTCGATGAGATAATGCTTTTCACACCAGCTGGCAGAAACACACCGACACGGAACACACAGGTCTTCGTCGTTTCGCAAGCCATTACAGATTGCTACAGAAAATGAAGGAAAAAATTCTGTTTCTCAAATATATAATCAAACTAAGGTATCGCTATGTGCGTATGACGTCTCGTGATTCATCCAGGTCTGACCGTTGAGGCTGCTCAGGCGCAGCAAATGTTTTGACTATCCGCCGGTCCTAGTGTATGGTTTCCTTAGATTACTGAACGTATTTTTCCTTTACTCATCAGCGATTGCCATAAATCGGAGGGTAGGGGTGAAAATTTGTGACGTCATGGCACCGGCCAGTGCAGAAGTGCAAGTGTCGAGTCGGCACCGCTCTATGGTGCTCGCGTTCGTTCTTGCTATATAAGAAAACGACGTTAAAGTTTACGTGTCACTGTGGTCAATGCTGACACAGCCGAATCACAAAAAGACGACAATAAATTGATTAAGCTGCTACATGCCAATGGAGAGGATCGCAGGATATTGCAAAATTTATTCATCTTGTGTCACCATCGGAAGAATCATGGCTATCACACGAAAGCGTGTAATCGTGTTCTGTCGGTATAAATGTTTCGTTGCCCGGTTCACGGTACGAAATGCAGTGACAACCGCCGTCACCTGGCCACCTACAACGCATTGACAAACCACCGTCACCTGCCTCCCCATCTCTGTTAAGGCCTTCGCATGCTGAGTGTGGTGGACGACCTCGGTAGAGCGTCCAAGAATGCCTGAAAAACACGACGACGACTGAAGTCCCAAAAGGTAATTCGGACTGAATAGTCAGTCTTTCTCGTGAGCGCACCCACCACGAACATTTGAAAGCCTTCGAAAATAACGCAAATGACTTGCACGTCTGACACAATAAAATATGCCTTTAGGAAAGCTTTCTCAAGCACAATGAGCATTTGCAAATCACCATCCTTCTTACCGAGACCTAAGCGTGGTGTGGTAAACAGCTTAGCTGAGTTTCGCCAGGAAGTCCTGAAATTTCTACCAACGTCAGTACAGGCGTGTACAGGGTTCTCCCTTGGAGCCATGATGGTTTGCTATACAGCGTTACCCTCCCTCTCCCGTCCCTCCGGTTTCGATGGCGGGGAGTTTAGATGGCGATGGCGGGGTGCGGGACTAAGGAGCTTCGCTCCTAATAAGGCGACGACTGTTGACAACGATTATAAAAAAAATAATCAGTTTTGCAAGTGGCCTTGCATGCGTGGTAAACAAAGAAATGGGTGGAATACAACGGCGCGGTCATGGTTTGAACATCAGGTCTGCGAAGAGCGATTACGTGCGTTATCACAAGTTTTCCCTACAAAAGCTCCAGACGTGCACTTCTGCTGTTCCGTTTGTCGAGCAGTCCCCCCAGTAGAAACAATAATGTGTGGCCTCTGCTCACGCCACGTCGAAAAGTTGTGACCAACAGCGCCTGATAGATGGAAGAGTTCAATTTCGCAGTTCAAAACTATCATTGAAATAGCATGACCCGGCTGCTACGTTGGTCTAGTGGTTATGGGACTCAACCACTGACTCGAAGGTCGCGGGATCGAATCCCGGTTATGATGACTGCAATTTTGATAGCGCTGAAAGTACTCGAGGACCACGTACTTAAATTAAGGTGCGTGTTAAAGAACTCTAGGCGCAACGGAAAATGATAAGATTAATCCGAAAGTACAAAATGAGAATGAAGTGGGTCAAAGAAAAACGGGTGTTGAAGACATCTTCGTTGAAATCCAAAACAAATGGTCATGGGCAGGGTGTGTAGCGCGGAGACAACACAACCAACGGGCCTGAAGAGTATCAGACTGAATTACAAGATAAAAAAAAGGCGCGCGACGGCAAGGTGGAAAGTTAGGTGGACTTTAAGACTGAGGAGTCTGCGGATTACTTGACTGCAGCAAGTGCAGGAACGGGTCGATTCGCGATAGGTGGAAGTGACTCTTGCTCCGCAGTGCGTGGACTCAAGTTGATAATGATGATAATGATGATGAGTTCAATGAAGATGATGGAAAAAGAAGCACATACATTAGCAATAAATTGTGGACTTTCGATTCGTAAGCACTGTATACATCTGTACCAGTCATATGAGGCAACAATCAGTGCTTCAGATAACCATGCTGCTAATGTACAAAAAGCAGTAGTGCTAATCAATTTATTGTCTTCGTCTCACGTCATAGTTAACGCGTCCAGTGTGTGGGAAAGTCCGGGGCCTCGCGTGATTCAAAAAAGAACGGAGATCCTTCAGTTTCAGACTTACCGCTGTCAAGTTCTAACACGCTGGCACATCACTATAGCTATCGTCGGGTAATACTGCCAGTTTTTCTATTCCGGCGCCAGCGTCATGTGTACCGCGTCTACATTAAGGTTTAGCTGATTGTGACGTAATCGTATAACGAAATCCGCACCCGTTTCGGTTTCCGTATGGTACATCGTTTTTCTGAATTTTTCTTAAAATTATCGATGAGTTCTTAAACAAGCTGTACCAGCTTGCCATATGCACGACTGTCAATATCGTTTTAAAGTGATGGTATCGTGAAGGAGCACAAAAAATAACAAGTAGAGGGTTTCGATTTTAAAATCATGACCACCGAAAAGGAATTGTCGGACAGGCGCATCGAATGACTTTGGCAGAGCTTTCAGCGAGATTGCTCTGTCCATACTGGCCATCGTATAGCCAGCGAAAACGCTGTCTCTTATATTGCGCAAGGTTCATTCCAAAATAGAAATGTTTAAGAAATGAAACCTTAGAACTTATCACATGAAAGGAATTCGGATTACTTTAGTGCTGGAAAAGTGACTGACGTCAAGTTCTTGCGAACGACTCGACGCTGCATTCGCGTCGCGTTTCCATTCTCCAGTTCTCGGGGAAAAAGAAAAGCCATATACGAGAGCAGCACTCACCCGAAATCGAAGCCGTCCCTCGGGCAATGCAAGTAGGGCACATTTTCGAAGCAGCTATGTCGCAAGGATTATTTCTGCTGAAAAGAAAAATCGCAGCCCTGTTTATTCGGTCTATTGTGGCTGGACACATTGAGCGCTTTTACAGGCGAGCTATTCCGCAGCGAAACGAAGGTTAACACGATGTCGCGTACAGCAATGCGTTCAGCTACGAAAATATTCGCTGCCGAATAGACGCCCCCCTTTCTCACCCCTTCTTTTCTTTTCATGCGGCGCAGCCTTCTATAAATAGTTATGCTCGGTTTCATAATCATTGCAAGTTTGTTGATATCGACGGGCTAGACGAGTACGCCTTTTCTGCTTGATTTCGCGATTTTGATTACTTTATAACTACACTGTTACTCGCTTTCGCTTAAAGCAGCCAGCACATGGATTATATTACCCACGCAACGCAAAAACACGTTGCAGCGATAGCACTACGTTATACTATTCTGGCAGTAATGAGAAATCTGCTTTATATATCCGGAAGGAACAGAAAAAAAGATAGCATGTGATACCATAAATAGGTGCCCAGACACCATTTTGGGTTTCGCGAAAGGCCATATTCTACAAATAGCAAGATCTGCTGCGAACAGTTTAGCCGTGTTTTACAGTCGTCCACGGCGCGCATAGTTCGCGAGGGGATCACAAAGTGGCGACTTTTTCAAGTGCCCCCTCTTCGTAGGCGAAATGGGTGGCGGCAGGGCGTCACTCACTTGGAGGCCAGACCGAGGTGATTCTATACACTGTTTTCAAAGAATTTTCTTCGAGAAGGCACTGGCGGCGCCGAGTCTGAAACCCGCCACGCAGGGAAAAGTGTTTCACCTCCACTGACGTCACTAATGAACTGTGCCGAAATACGGCACTTCTTCGCCTCCTTCTTCGCTACGTGCTCGGTTTCAGTTCCCTACGGCATGGATTTGAGAAGGTGGTTCCAGCTACACTAAAGTTCGGATAACCGTTGCCTTCTTCCTTTCTTGTGGACCGCTGGCGAGTAAATTATCATCACTTGGCACACGTGTTTCAAGAAGTATAGTGTTTCAAGTACACGACTTTACCGTAGAGACCAACGTTTGAACATCTGGTTTAGATAAAATCCTAAGCACCTCGGTATGTTTATCAAGGATTCTGACACCACTGCTAAGCCAAACACGTTTCGCAGTAACGGCGAACCTTAAACTTACGATATTCATAGTACGGACCAATGGCGAGTAGGGGGGATTATCATACCTTTGTGCCTGCATACCCCTTTATGATGGACAATGACTACAACGTGACACTCCGACAAGCCGAGACCTCGACGGGCTTCATCCCTAAAACAACTCTTGCCACGGGAATGCGCTCAGCAAGTGCGAAAACACGCGAGAAGAAAATTCAGGTAGGGATGCGTTGTCGTCACACCATCACCAATTTCGGGTGATGCCACATGTTTAGACTGTGTGTGCTAGGGTATACGCAATTTTTCGATCAGCGAGGATCAAGTGAATTGTCCTCTCAGTTGCTGTGAGGGTCAATGTAGCGAGTTTAAGTGAAGTTCGCTGAGCCGACGTGAGCAAATGGCCGAATAAAAATGTGTATCTAACGAAAAAAAAATAGAACACATGTCCAATAAGAAAATGAGCCGTTGAAATACTCCATCGTTCTTTCATGACGTCCCACTGATAATCATGAGTAAAGGCGCTGGTGCGAAGTTTGAAAGTGTAGCTTCGAACTTCATTTCCTGTTCAAATCAGAAACCTGTCATGATCTAACTAATAATTCATGAGCTTTCAAAGAATATTTTGTCGCG